CCATCTCCCCCCACAACCTCCTCATCACAACCTCCACAACCTCCACAACCTCCTCATCACAATCTCCACAACCTCCCCCCCCCACATCATCACAATCTCCCCCCCCTCCTCAATATCACAACCTCCACAACCTCCTCATCACAATCTCCCCGCCCCACAACCTCCTTCTCACCCGCAGGGTGGTCGTATAGGTACGGGCCGAGCACGCGCCACAGAGGGCGTAGCCAGCGAGGTCCCTGGCGATGTGCAGGCGGTGACCTCGGGCGGCGTCGGAAGCGACAGGCCCCGTGCGGGGCGTCGGGGCCCCAGGAACGACCGCGTGGCCTCCTCCTCCTCCTCCTCCTCCCTCCTCCTCCTCCTCCTCCTCCGCCTCCGCCGCCTCCTCCTCCTCGTCCTCCTCCTCTCTCCTCCATCTCCATCTCCATCTCTCCATCTCCATCTCCTCTCCATCTCCATCTCCATCTCCATCTCTCATCCCATCTCCATCTCCATCTCCATCTCCATCTCCATCTCCATCTCCATCTCCATCTCCATCTCCATCCCTCATCTCCATCTCCATCTCCATCTCCATCTCCATCTCCATCTCCATCTCCATCTCCTCCCTCCTCCTCCCTCCTCCTCCTCCTCCTCCTCCTCCTCCTCCTCCTCCTCCTCCTCCTCCTCCTCCCTCCTCCTCCCGAGGAGGGGGGCGCCGCACGAGGGCGCCTCCTCGAACCAAGCTCCGCCGCTCCTCCTCTCACGGGGCCTCCGCGTGCCCAGGCGGAGGCCCACAAGGACGGGGGCCCACGAGACTCTCGCGGGCGCACCGCTCCGACGAGGTGCCTGCTGCGCGTCGTCCGGGTGTGGCCGGTCCTGGGGCCCGGCGGGGGCGAGAGGAGACCATCACCACCCACACCAAACCACCCCAGCCCAACCCGAAGGCTTCGCTTTGCCCTCCATTTCCAGTGGGGGGGGGGGTCGGGGAGCATGGTAAAAACACATGGAGTCCGTACCCCCCCCCAAAACCGGAATTTCGGGTCCAATTCGGGTTTTCGGGTTGGGTCGGGGTGGTCCGGTAGGTGGCCAGGCCAGGGGGAGGCTCCGAGGAGTCGAGCAGGGAGGAGCGGGGTCTCCCGGGGAGGATCGCCTCTCCTGCGAGCAGCTTGCTCGCCCAGGGCCCTCGGGGCTCCATCCCGGGGCGCTCTCGTGGCCACGTACGGGGGAGGCCTCGGGGTACGCGATATGGGCGGAGGGGCACGCTGCACGGCTGCATGGCTGCATGTCTCGGCACGCATGCGTCGTCTCCCCGCCCAGGGTCTGGCAAGCCTGGGAAACCTGGCACACTTCCAGCCTAGATTCCTGGCCTGCTGCGCTACACAGCAGTCGTCGAAGTGGGTATGCTTGGACTCCCAGATTTAAGTCTGCTTCAAGCGCCTTCCTACTTCAAGATGCGATCTGCTTTCGCTGCGCTTTTTTGTTCTCTGGGAGGGCCTGAACCCAATCTAGTTCATCCACCTCCTTACTTTGTGTTTTTACGTACTTCTTCCGACCAGCGTGTAACGCCCTCTTCCTGCCCCCCCTAACAAAAACGAGTCCCAGCTGATGATGTCGTGCAGCCTACCCCGAGATCCGACTTTGTGAAAACTGAAAGATCGCGACAAATCAGGACCGGAGCCCTAGATCCCCTCTTCGGCAGCATTTTCGGAGCCGGAGCGATCTGTGATGGTCCCGGGGTCCGAAGCCGGGCGAAAACACCCGGCGTGAAAAATTGCAATGCCAGGATCTCAGGTTCGGCGCACCCGCGCTTGTAATGTCTTCTGGCCTTCGGCCCATTCCGCCAATGTGCTTGGGTTGTAGGTCAGAGGCCTCTCGGTGTCCTCTCGGCCCGTGTTGGGGCGCTCGTGGGTCCGAAAAAATCACGCGGGAAGCGCGGGGGATCCTCGGGAGGCACGCCGGGAACACCGGAGAATGGGAGCATTTGGGGTCCGGGCCCCTGAACTCTGAGAACTGAGGGCTACACACTGTTCACTTCTCATTCTTCGAAAGTTCTTTGATTTCTGGGGGGGCCAAGATCCTTTCATTTCTAATTGTTCTATCCTGGGCCTCTTCCTGGCCACTAGGGGGCCAGGAATCAGTAGAAACGAGCACAATTAGAAGTGAGCACGATTAGAAATGAACGACGTGTAAGGACTACAGTCGACACCGATGATAGGGATGGGCAACCTGCGCACGGGTGCCCTGGCATCCATGCCTCTTTTCGTTCATCCTTAACCACTTTCGACGAGGGCCAGCACCGCTCGAGAAGCTTCGACATCGGCGTCCAAGGGGCTTGCATCCTCCTCGCGCATCCTTCCTTCGGGTTCGACTGTGCAAGGGGTCCGAGTCGAAGAAGAAAAACCGCTATAAACACAAACTTTCGACACTCCGCGCGGACCTCTTGGATCCGCGCTGGGCCCCCCCCCCGGCGGCGCTTCCAGCGCCGCCCCGGGCGCGTTCCGCGCGCCAGGGATGGGGGTTCCAGCGCAGATCCAAGAAATCCGCGCGGAGCGCCAAAAGTTTGTGTTTAGTTATGCTGTTGTTTTGTTTCGTCTACTCTCAGGAGGGAACAAAAACACAGGCACAATTAATCGTCGATTCCCAGGAAAAGATGCGAAAATATGGGAAGTGGGGGGGAAGACAAAAACCCGAAAATATGAGAACCTATGGGGGGTCCTGTAATCTGTGTCTGTCTATCAGTGTGCCCCAGGGCCCCTTCATACCGAGCGCACTCCGACCCGCGCCTCGCGGCACGGCGGCGGATCGGGCAGCTTTTTGGCGCCCCTGCCGGGGAGCCACGCGCCCGGGTGGGCCGGCCGCCCCGCGAGAGGTTCATGCTCCGTCGATGCGTGGATGCCGTCGCCGAGGCGACCAGCGAGTGGCCCCTGGTCGTGCGCTCCGTGGGCGGCGGCAGCGGCGCCACGCTGTGGGGGAAGGATCCCGCGGCCCCCCTCGCGCCGCCTCCGCACTCCGAGCTTGGAACCTCGAGGAGCGAGGCTCGTGCCGAAGGACCAAACAACAGCAGAAGCACAGACTGTCGACGGTCCGCGCGGGTTTCTTGGATTTGTGCTGGGACCCCCCTGGCGGCGCCTCCAGCACCGCTCCTGGCGCGCTCCGCGCGCCAGGGAGACGGTCCAGCGCAGATCCTAGAGATCCGCGCGGAGCGTCGAAAGTTTCTCTTGATGTCGTTGTTTCTTTCTCCACTGTATGGCCTCTGGGGTTGCTTCTCGTCGCCGCTGCTGGATTGTCGTACCCCAGGAGAGTTCTGGGGATAATTTTTCCCACGGACCCAGGCACCCTCGCGCCTTGAAAAAGTTCGTGAAGCAGTAGGAGGAGGAGAAGGAGGGAGGAAAAGGAGAAGGAGAAGGAGGATGAGGAGGCGGAGAAGGAGGAGGAGGAGGAGGAGGGGGAGGAGGAGGAGGAGGAGAAGGAGAGGAGGAGGAGGAGGAGGAGGAGGAGGAGGAGGAGGAGGAGGAGGAGGAGAGGAGGAGGATGAGGAGGAGGAGGGGAAGAGCAGGGGAGGAGGCGTGGCACGAGGTGGGCAGGCTGGCCTGTTCTCCTCCCCGTCCCTTGCCTCGGGGCAGCCCCCCTCCCACTTCTCGCTCGTTGTGCCCCCCCCCTTCCCCTCTTCCCCCCTCCCCCCAACGGCGGAGACCGCTGGGGCCCAGGGGGCCTTGGTCCCCTCGCGTCGTGACACGAATTCCTAGGCCTACCCCTACGCCTACCCCTAGGGCCTACCCTAGTGAATCCTAGGAATCCATAGGAATCCCCTGGGAATCCTACGACTCCTAGGGGATCCATCGGAATTCCTATGGATTCCCAGGACTCCCTAGGGATTCCTGTGGATCCCCTATCGTGGCGCAACCCTCGGATCTGGGCGTCGCATTGTCTCGACAAAAAGGCGCTTTCCCCTGGATGCAAGCCCCAGGGGTCCTCGATTCGGCTCGAGGGGCGCGACAGAGACATGGGGCCCATGGCTCCCGTCGGGATGCTTCGCGATGCCGTTGTGTTTTCGCAACGTCGGATCTCATGGGATAAGTTTTTTGTGCTGCTGCCGTCGTCGTCGTCGTCGTCGTCGTCGTCGTCGTCGTCGTCGTCGCCGTCGTCGTCGTCGTCGTCGTCGTCGTCGTCGTCGTCGTCGTCGTCGTCGTCGTCGTTGTCCGCGGACGCGTGTCGTAGCCGTCCTGCGACTCGCACAGAGAAAGGCCACATCGTGTTATATGCGCAATCGGAAAACTGGGGCGCTGCGTGCGCGGGGTCGGAAGGGGTGGCGGGTGAGCAGGAGGAGGACCGGGAGTTGCAGGACTGAGGACGAACGGCAGCAGCACGCACTGCAGTCGAGCACCTGATCAAGAAGCCTCCTCCCGAAGCGCTGGGCCAGCGTTTCTCAGCCCACTCGCCGGAGAGCTGGCCCGGTTTTTCGAGCACGTTGGCGCCTCCAGCTTGCACAGCAGGAATTGGCCCAGGCTTGCTTTGAGAATCTGAGAAGCTGGCCCAGGCAAGTTTCTCACACGATCGTTTTCAGAATCGCATTCTGGGCTGTAGAGCGGAAAGATCGGGAGGGAAAGGAAGACCGGGGGAGTGCGGAGGAGGGGAAACGAGAGGGGCGACAACGAGGAAGACTCGGATTCAGAAGAGTGGCCCGTGCTGGGGCGAGACAAGCAGCAGCAGCAGGAACCGGAGAGGAAGGAGCGGGACGAACAGGAGGACCAGGAGGAGGCGGAGGAGGGGAAATGATGGGGGCCGCAATGAATCAAGACTCGGATCCAGAGAAGTGGCCCGCGTTGAGGCGCGGGCGCCATTCTAAACGACGAGAGCAACGCGCCGATCCGAAAATGAGGCCCTCGCTGCAGCAGGATAACCATGTTGAAACACCGAAAACAACTACTCGATTGTACAACCTTTCAGAACCACCCATGTTCTCAATCTGGTGTGTAAAAACAATATGCGGATGGGCCGGGAGATTCCAGGGGAGGAAGGAACACATGATTCGTATTGTTTAATTGTGGAAGGGGAGGAGGTGGAGGAGGAGGTGAACAAGAATGAGGAGGAGGAAGAGGAGGAAGAGGAGTAGGAGGAAGATGAAGGAGGGGCGATGTGGGTCGAAGAGGGAGGTTGAGGCGGAGGTTACTAGGATTGGTGGGAGAGAAAGAGAGAAAGAGAGAGAGAGAGAGATAATGAAAGAGAGAGAGGGAGAGACGGAGAGAGAGCGGAGGAAGGAAAAGCAGGAGCAACAGGAGGAGGAGGAGGAATGGGAAGGAGGAGGAGGAGGAGAAGAAGAGGAGGAGGAGGAGGAGGAGGAGGGGAGGAGGAGGAGGCATGTGGAGAATCCGGTGGTGAGCTTCCTTTCTCCTGCCGGGCTCCCCAGGAGGTGTCGCCCAACCGGTTTGCTGGCGAGGTCTGCTTTGGCGGCGATGCTGGCGGTGCCCCCCCTCTTCTTGGCAGTCCGCTTCCTGCTGCCTCTCCGTTTCCCCTTTCCCCTCCCCCTCCCCCCTCCCCCTCCCCATCTTCTTCTTCTTCTTCTTCTTCTTCTTCTTCTTCTTCTTCTTCTTCTCCTCTCCTCCCTCATCCTCCTCCTCCTCCTCCTCTTCCCCTCCTTTCCCCCTCTTTCCTCCTTTCCCCCCCCCCCTCTTTTCTCTTCTTGTTCTCCTCGTCCCCCCTCCTCTTCCTCCCCTCCCCCTTGCCTTTGCGGCGCATGTATGCCCTCGGCAGCAGGAGCACCCTCAGCTGTGGCCGCACTGAGCTCGTTCCCACGACTTCGACTCCAGGGGAGGGGCCGTTCCCTGGCTCCTGTAGCAATCAAACGTCGACCTCCGACGAAAACCCTATCACACAGGGGTGGGGCCGCTCCCTTCTAACAAGTACCCACCGGTCGTAGAAAGTAGGTATTTTTGGATTCCCAGATCCCAATCAACTTTAAGCGCCCTCCTATTTCAAGAATCTATATTTTTTGTTGTTTTTGGGGGCGGGCGCAAACCTAATCTACTTCTAGGGTTTGGTTGTCACTTCCCTGGGTGACGCTGGTCGCTCGGCCCCTCGGCTGGCCCCAGTCCTTGGTTTTGTTGTTTTTTGTTTGTTTTCGCATGGCCGTCGGCTGCACTGGTCGCCCTGGGCTCGCCCGCCGCCTCTCGGTCGCTCGGCCCCTCGGCTTGCCCAACTCTTTGATTTTGATTGTTTTGTTCGTTTTCGCTTGTCCGTCGGCTGCGCTGGTCGCCCCAGGCTCTCCCGCCGCCCCGCGGTCGCTCGGCCCCCGGCTGGCCCAATTCCTTGGTTTTGTTTGTTTTTGTTTGTTTTCGCTTGCCCGTCGGCTGCGCTGGTCGCCCTGGGCACACCCGCCGCCTTTCGGTCGCTCGGCCCCTCGGCTGGCCCAGTTCTGTGGATTTGTTTGTTTTTGTTTGTTTTCGCTTGTCCGTCGGCTGCACTGGTCGCCCCAGGCTCGCCCGCCGCCCCGCGGTCGCTCGGCCCCTCGGCTGGCCCAATTCCTTGGTTTTGTTTGTTTTTGTTTGTTTTCGCTTGCCCGTCGGCTGCACTGGTCGCCCTGGCGCCCGCCGCCTTTCGGTCGCTCGGCCCCTCGGCTGGCCCAATTATGTGGATTTGTTTGTTTTTGTTTGTTTTCGCTTGTCCGTCGGCTGCACTGGTCGCCCAGGCTCGCCCGCCGCCCCGCGGTCGCTCGGCCCCTCGGCTGGCCCAATTCCTTGGTTTTGTTTGTTCTTGCCCGTCGGCTGCACTGGTCGCCCTGGGCACACCCGCCGCCTTTCGGTCGCTCGGCCCCTCGGCTGGCCCAATTCTGTGGATTTGTTTGTTTTTGTTTGTTTTCGCTTGTCCGTCGGCTGCACTGGTCGCCCTCGCCCGCCGCCTTTCGGTCGCTCGGCCCCTCGGCTGGCCCAATTCCATGGTTTTGTTTGTTTTGTTTGTTTTCGCTTGCCCGTCGGCTGCACTGGTCGCCCTCGCCCGCCGCCTTTCGGTCGCTCGTCGGCTGGCCCAATTATGCACTGTGTCGTTTTCGCTTGTCCGTCGGCTGCACTGGTCGCCCTGGGCGCACCCGCCGCCTTTCGGTCGCTCGGCCCCTCGGCTGGCCCAATTCCATGGATTTGTTTGTTTTTGTTTGTTTTCGCTTGCCCGTCGGCTGCACTGGTCGCCCCAGGCTCGCCCGCCGCCCCGCGGTCGCTCGGCCCCTCGGCTGGCACAATTATATGGGTTTGTTTGTTTTGTGTTTGTTTTCGCTTGTCCGTCGGCTGCACTGGTCGCCCCAGGCTCGCCCGCCGCCCCGCGGTCGCTCGGCCCGTCGGCTGGCCCAATTATGTGGGTTTGTTTGTTTTGTGTTTGTTTTCGCTTGTCCGTCGGCTGCACTGGTCGCCCTGGGCACACCCGCCGCCTTTCGGTCGCTCGGCCCCTCGGCTGGCCCAATTCGGCCAGCCGAGGGGCCGAGCGACCGCGGGGCGGCGGGCGAGCTTGGGGCGACCAGTGCAGCCGACGGACAAACGACAACTAATAAAATCAAACAACACCAAGGAATTGGGCCAGCCGAGGGGCCGAGCGACCGCGGGGCGGCGGGCGAGTCTGGGGCGACCAGTGCAGCCGACGGTCAAGCGAAAACAAACAAAGACAAACGAAACGATGGAATGGGGCCAGCCGAGGGGCCGAGCCACCGAAAGGCTGCCAGTGCGATCGACGGACAAACGAAAACAAGCCAGAACAACCGAAACCAGCCAGGGAAGGGGCCATCCGAGGGACCGAGCGACCTAGCGCTTTTGCGCGCCGCAAAGACAGGGCCCGGAAATTTGCAATCTACTTCTTGTAATTGCTGTTGCTGTTGTCTTTTTTTGGGCGGCCCCGAACGCAATCTATTTCTTCCGCCTTCCTACTTCATGTTTCTACCTACTTCTTCCGACCGGTGGGTATTGGCGCCTGCCTTCTATACGTTGGTTTTCGAGCCCCACAGCCGCGGCAAGGAAGCCCAAAGACCCGCAGTCTTCTTCGCAATCGCGGAGGTTAGGCGCCGCTCGTTGTCCGCGACCTTGCAGCCACCTTGGCAGGGCTCGTTTCGATTCCTCCGGTCCGATCCGACTCGACTTCGATGGCTTCCGAATCCGACTTGATTCGGTTTCGGATCCCGATCATGGCTCCGATTTCTGAATGGATGCCTACTAGCCTGCCGATTTCCGCCGATTCGACTTTTCCCGACTCGGCTGCCGATCTCCGCCGATTCGATCCTCTTTGGTTGCAGATCCGACGTATCGATTCGATGTTGGGCTGTCCTCCCTTGAGTGAGGCCACGGAAGCCCTTCGGAAGCGAGAAGGCGGGGAGACGGCCAGCACTGCATCATCCCTGCATGCAGAGGGCGGACTTCGGCCTCCCGGGGGGTGTATCCTCGGGGCGCTCCGCGTGGTCGCTCGGAGCCGTCTTGGGGCGGCCTCGGAGCCTCTTGGATGCATGCGGGCAGCCATTCTGCTCCACCGCGGGCCATCTTGTGCCGTCCTGGGGGCCATCTCGGGCTGCATGAGGTCCCTTTGGAGCAACCCTGGACGCTCTGACCGCTCGCGCTCACCCGCGTCCAGGTCCTGGGGGGATGGGGAAGACAAGCGGTTGGCAGAGGGAGCATGCACTCGCGCAAGTCGGAAAGCAAACGCATCATCAATGTCACGCCGGTCGGACGACCCCATCTTCGCGTGACAGCTGGCGAGGTACTGTCTACTGCACGGAGAGCGAGTGCGTAACAACAGCGCGCCCAGTTTGACAGACGACGCGTGTGTCGTTGATCGTCGGGGTCCATCCCGAGTGCCCATACCCCTGGCGTCGTGTTCTTTTCGCCACGTGTACCTCTGCAGGTCTCGAGCCACTCCCTGGGACCCGTTTGTCATCCTGGATAGCTTGTTGACTGTCCCGGGGCCCTGTGAGGGCCCTCAGATGCCGAAGATAGCAACAAGCATTCCGTCGCGATTGTTTCACGGCGCGAGGGTGTCGGAGCAAGACGCCGGCGCAACCCAAAGATCGGCGGCGAGACCAGGGGGAAAGTGAAAGGAGGCAGGCCTTCTGAGAAGGCTGCGAGGCTTCTGAGAAGCCCCCGCGCCTTCTGATAAGCCGTCTGTGTCTTTGGAAAGACAGGAATCTTCTCAGTAGGCCAGAGTCCCTCTGAGCTTTTTTGCGAGGCCCTCCCCCTCCGACCTCCCGCGTTGGCTTGTCGGTTTTCGGCTCATGACTCGGGTGTTTGGCGGCCGTTCGGGACGATCTGGGTACCCTTGGAACGCCCTCGGCGAGCTGCAGCTGCTGGAGCGCATCCCAAGGCTGGAAAACCTGGATTCAACAAAACGTAAGGAACCCTTGAACTTCCCTTCTGGGCTCGCCGCCGACAACAGCCTTCTCCGACAAAACGCCCAGCCCGCCCTACCGACACGCCGGGGGGATCGACAGATACGAGTTGATTATAGAGAAAAGGGATGGGGGAGGAGGGAGGAGGAGTATGAGAAGGATCGAGGAGGACAATGGTGATGCTGCTGCTGATGATGATGATGCTGATGATGCTGATGATCATGCTGACGACGATGATGATGCTGGTGGCGATAATGGTGGTGGTGGTGATGGTGATGATGATGATGATGATGATGATGATAATTCTGATGCTAATGAGTGTGATGATGATGACGATGCTGGTGGTGGTGATGCCGATGACGAGGATGCTGATGATGATGATGATGATGATGAAGATGATGATGATGCTGATGCGGCTGATGACGGTGAAATGATGCTTATTTTGACTATGCTGATGTTGTTGCTGCTGATGGTGAGCATGATACTGATGATGATGGCGATGCTGATGATGAAGATGCCAGTGTTGTTGTCGTTGCCAATGGTGATGATGCTGATGAATGCTGATTCTGCTGATGATGCTGATGCTGCTGATGATGACGAGGATGCCTATAAGGATTACCATGATGCTGCTGATGCCGATGATGACGATGATACTGTTGCTGATGATGCTGTTGTTGATGTTGATGATGCTGATGATGACAGTGAGGTTGATGATGATTAGCCGGATTATTATGATGAAGACGCTGATTATTCTGTTGTTGTCGGTGATGCTGGTGGTGCTGCTGATGATGATACTGATGATGGTGCTGCTGCTGCTGATGATATATCGAATGGCGTTGGCATGAGAAGGATGAGGAGGATTATGATGATGATGAGGAGGAGGAGGATCGAGGAAAACGATGAGGTAGACGAGGACGAGGAGGAGAAGAAGCAGGAGGAGGAGGAGGAGGAAGAGGTGGAGGAGGAGGAGGAGGAGGAGGAGGAGGAGGAGGAGGAGGAGGAGTTCTCTGGGTACGTGCCAGGAGGAGGAGGAGGAGGAGGAGGAGGAGGAGGAGGAGGAGGAGGAGGAGGAGGAGGAGGAGGAGGAGGAGGAGGAGACCCTGGGGTGGGGGGTCTGCCCGTCGTCTCTCTCTTACCCCCCCCCCTCCCGCGCCAGTCACCTTCGTCTCCTCCTCTGCCTGCTTCCTCCGCCTCCGCGCCCTCGCGCCCCTCCCCCGGGCCCTCCCGCCGACGAGAGCCTCCCCCCGCGTCCGGCTCCAGGCACCTTCGAGCTCCTGCGGTGTCCGCGCGTCTCCCTGGCGCCGGGGGCCGACGTCTGCTGGGGCGCGCTCTGCGGCCGTGGGGGGCCGCCTGCCGCGGTGGTGCAGGAGACGGGCTGGGGAGCTCTTTGGGGGCCAGGATCCTTGCATGTCTACTTGTTCTCTCCTGGGCCGCTTCCTGGTCACCAGGAGGCCAGGAACAGGTGGGCACGAACACACTCAGAACGGAGCACGATCAGAACTGAAGGACGTGTAAGGGGCCCCTGGAAGCGGCAGGGCCGTTGGGCTCCAGCCCCCTCCCCCGCTGCTGCTTGGGATCGCCCCCCCCCCCCCGCTGGATGGGTACGCCCGTGAGCTGCGCGGGGGCCTCGCGGATGGCATCGCCGCCCCCGCCCGGCTCTGTGGTGGTCGTGGCCTTTGCGGGCGTGGCGTGGTGGCCGGGGGTGCTGGTGCCCCCGCCCCTCCCCCTGTTGGTGTGGGGCGGTGCTGCGGTGCCGTCGTCGTCGTCGTCGTCGTCGTCGTCGTCGTCGTCGTCGTCGTCGCCGTCGTCGTCGTCGTCGTCGTCGTCGTCGTCGTCGTCGTCGTCGTCGTTGTCGTCGTCGTCGTCGTCGTACTCGTCGTCGTCGTCGTCGTCGTCGTCGTCGTCGTCGTCGCCCCCCATCCCATCTTGGGGGGGGGGCGCCGTCCCACCACCACCGCCACAACCACCACCAGTAGTACCAGCACCACCACCACAACCACCACAAACTTCCTCCTCACCACCACCACCGTCACTACCACCACCACCAGCACCCCTGCCGCCGCCGCCAGCCGCCGCCGACGCTGGTGCCGGCCCGAGGAGAGGGAGAGAGGAGAAGTAGGGGACGGGGGGACGGGGGGGAGGTGTTCGACCCCCCCCCCCTTTCCATGGGAGGGGGCGGGTGGGTTGATGGAAGGGGGGGTCTGGTTCCAAACCGCCCCCCCCCCGTCCAAGCGACCACAGAACGCGCTTTTTCTGATATAGACTCACAACACTAGCACTAATCCAAAGGATGTAAGCGTTGTTTGGGATTGAGCTTTATAGTATTGATCGCCATTTTACAAGCAGCTCTCATCGTGGTCGCCGGTTCTTTCAAACTTGGAGGCTGTGAAAGAGTGGTCCACCCACTCTGGGTTGTGAGTTTGGGTACCCTGATCCAGAAGTTCTGCGCCAACTCAAACTTGTCAGTGGTATTGCACGGTACTGTGAAGAACCCCGGGCATTCGGCCAAAACGTCTTAATGATGACCCGAAAACGTCGCTGTGGCTGCAATTCTTGCCCACTTCGAAACGTCTCACGAGGCAGAACGTGCGCATCCACCTCGTCGATGTCTTCCGAGTTCTGCCTCGCTTGCGTAACCGCTTGGAAACTCCTCGCACGTGCGATTGTCCGCCGTGCGTGCTCCATTCGTCCACGGTGTGTGGCTCATTATGTGGCTGTCTTGTCCGCAAGAAGAAGCCGCGCACCGCCATCACTATGCGATGATCATCATCTGGTCGTACATCTGGGAGGCACCCATGCTGTTCAGAACACCTCACAATCTGTGCCCCCAGCACTTCAGCGTGAGCCTGCATCCAGAATCGTGCCAGAACGCCATTCCTGGGACTCAAACGCCGCGAATCAGCGTAACTGCTGCGCCCTGACAATCCTGCCTCGTTCCAAGACGCCGGTTCTCGTACGCTACCCAGGAGGACCAGTAAACTTTTTGCGAGTGTTTAAAAGGGGAGTTTGCGCGGCGCTAGGGCGAGAACCACATTCTGAAAACAAACCGCTCTCAACCAGTGAAGCTGTTGCAGTTGTTTGAAATCGAATCTGCGTGTCGCTAAGGCGAGAGCCACATTTCGAAATCCAGCCTCCCTCAACCCGTGAGCTCTAGCAACTTCTTACAACGAATGTGCGCGGTGCCAAGGCGAGAGCAACATTAGTAAAACAAGCCGCCCTCAATCCGTGGAGCTCTTGCAACAACTAATATGAGCGGCACTTTGAAAACAAACCGCTTTCAATCCGTGGAGGTCTTGCACTTTTTTGAAACGAATGTGCGCGGCACTAAGGCGAGAACCACATTTTGAAAACCACCCGCCCTCAATCCGTGAGCTCTAGCAACTTACAGCGAGTGTGCGCGGCGCCAAGGCAAGAACCACATTCTGAAAACGACCCGCCTTCAACCCGTGGAGCTCTTGCAATTTGAAGAACGAATGTGCACCGCACCAGAGTGAGAGCCACACTTTGAAAACGATCCGCCCTCAGTCCGTGGAGCTCTTGCATTTTTTTGAAACGAAGGTATGCGGCGCCAGGGCGCGAGCCACATTATTAAAATGAGCCGCCCTCATTTCGTGGAGCTCTTGGTATTCTGTTCAAGCGAATGTGCGCGGTGCTAGGACGAGAGCTACAGGTCGGAAACGACCCGCCATCAACCCGTGGAGTTCCTCCATTCTCGCTGCAACGAATGCCCGCGGCGCTGAGGCGAAAGCCACATTTTGAAAAGCAACCGCCATGAATCCGCTGAGCTCTTGCTTTAGAACGAATGGGCGCGGCGCTAAGGCGACAGCCACATTTCGAAAACTAGCCGCCCTCAATCCGTGAAGCTGTTGCAACTCATTGCAACGAATGTGTGCGGTGCTAAAGGCGAGAGCCACACTTTGAGAACCACCTGCCTCCAATCCGTGGAACTCCTGCAATCAGAAAAAACAAACGGATGTGTGCGGCGCTCAGGCAATCCGTGGAGCTCTTGCAGTGGTTTGAAACGAATGTGCGCGGCGTTAAGGCGAAAACCACATTTTGAAATCAAAACAGCCGCGTTCCATCGGTGAAACTGTTGTCAATTTGTAAGCTTCAGGATCAGAAGTGGTGAGGAAGTCTTTGGCGAAACGTCCGGCCCGCCCTTTCGACCAGCCTCGGGGTGCGACAGGAAGGAGTTATTCATTCTCTTGCACAGCTGTGTTCTAGAGCTCGGACCTCTTTATTTTCGTCGTCGTTCGTTCGTCTGTCGTTTGTCCTCTCCCCTGGCCGCCCTGGCCTTGACCCAGTCCTCCCCAGCTCCCCTCGCTCTCCCTCCCTGGCCTCCCGTTCGTCGTCCCCCCCCCCCCGCGACGGGAGTACGGGGCCCGCCACGGCGGGCCGCTGTGCTGCGAGCTGGTTCCGCCGATGTCCCCGCGCCCGAGGGGAGCGCTGACCCCACGGCGACGGAGCAGCATGCCGGCGTCGGCCATCCTTGCGACCGATCGGTTCAAAGCGTGGACCTTTTTGGCGCTGGAAGCTGATGAGGAGTCCGCGAGGTTTTCCTTCTCTGCCCCCTCGGCTGCCGCCACGTCGGCGGCGTCTGCACCCTCCGCAATGCGCCAGGGTGTTGTTGTTTTGCAGAGCGCCCGAGCAGCCCTGGCCCACGAAGAGGACGAGGAGCCCCTGATCACAGTGGTCGATGATGGCTCGGACGGCTCAGATTGATTGCGCTAGTGCACCTCGGTCATGCCCTCACGGGACAGATGACAAAACAATCCTCCTCCTTGTCCTCGTCTCCTCAATCCCCCCACCTGCTCCTCCTCCTCCTCCTTCTCCTCCTCCTCCTCCTCCTCCTCCTCCTCCTCGTTTCTTCAAGCGTGCATGAGCCAGGGCACGCGTGCCGCTTGTAAGGACAGGGAATGGAGGAGTTGGTGGGTGGGCGAGGGCAGGGTTGCCGCCTCCGCCACAGGAGCCTTCGGTGTACTCTCCGGGGCCGCCGCCAAAGCAGGTGGTCGCTGCGAAGGCTGTCGGGCAGGGCGTCGCGAAGGTCGACGAGCAGGATTGGCGACCAGAAGTAGCCGCCGCCCCCAAGGAAGTGTCCTGGCAAGAACCTTCGGGCGGCCCAAGGAAGCGCCCTGGCAAGTGCGCCCCAAGGAGGTCTCTTGTCAGGTGCCCTCGAGCGCCCCAGCGAAACATCCTGGCAGGTACTCTCGGGCGTGGCTCTGGGGCCATCAAGGAACTGGTCAGGACGACACGCCAGGCCTTGGGGAAAAGGGTCGGGGCCTCGAACTGAAATGGTCCCAGCGCGACCCCAAGCAGGGGTTTTCTTTCCGGCAAGCCGTTCGAAGCAACTCTAGCAGTTCTGGGCAGTGCAAAGCACTGCGATGGCAAACGCTGTTTGGTTCTGCTTGGCACTGCTGTTGAGAGCTCTTTTCTTGGTTGAGCCCGTGACGTCCGACGCGGGGGTCCGCCTCCCTGCCCCTCCCCTCCCCCGTAGCGGTACCGAGCGTACGCGTGGTGGGTGCTGCCCCCCCCCCCCCCCCGAAGTGTGGCGTTGTGCTCAACGGCGTGCTCTGGTGCTGGCAGGCGTGCTTCTGTCGGCGTCGCCCCAGCATGCTAATACGACGTGTGCGTCTCCCCCCCCCCCCCCAGGGGCGACGCGCGCACCGAGAAATCTTATAGTGTGCGCGTCTCGGCGGGCGTTTTTTGGCCACAGCGTTCGGGAAACGATATACTACAAGATGTATATACTACATGTTCGGGTCGGACGCGCTCCTCCAAGGAGGACATATAGTACTAGTATGTCTGTGTGCGTCCAATGTGGTGCCCACATGAATGCTGTGGCGCTCGCGAGCATCTGGTGCGCCGGGAATGCCAGGAGCGCTGGGAGTGCGGTGTTGCTCCTGCTGCTCCTGCTGCTGCTCCAGTGCTCATCCTCCTCTTCCGGTGCTCCTCCTCCTCGGGTGCTTTTCCTGCCGGTCCTTTTGCTGCTCCTCCTGCTGCTCCTGATGTTGCTCATCCTGCTATTGTTCCTGCTGCTCCTCTAGCTGCTGGTCCTTCTTCTCCTCCTGCTGCTCCTCCTGCTACTCCTGCTACTTCTCCTGCATGTCATCCTGCTCGTTTGGTTTGCTCCTCCTGCTGGTCCTCTTCTAGCACCTTTTGCAGCTCCTCCTGCTTCTTCTCCTTGGTTGTAGTCTGATTGGCGATGGCTGAGCAGGGGTGCCAGGTCGAGCTGAGGGCCGAGACGGTTGCTCCGATGGCGACTCTTCCAGTTCAAACACACCCTGGTGTGCTTGCGGCGGATGTCTGACATACAACAGATCTATGGTGTTTGCGTGTTCACGCTTCTCCTACACAAAGGCTCAGCTGATGAGCCAGAACGATACCATAATTGCGCACGTCGTATACGGCGCGTGCGTTCAAATTGCGAGGATCATGCGCGCCACTACGCATGCTAACATGAGTATGCAGAGGCAGGGCAAAGAAATGAGATGCGCGACATCGCGCATCAGGGTGCAGAGGTTCGACCGCAAAGCCATCGTGATCGTCACGATGGGCTCGTCTGGCAGTCTCGTGATAGAAGAGATGCAAGTTTCACCTGAGGGTATCAAAACTGCTGTCATTGCACCCTCCGCAGGCAAGCTTGCGGCTGCACAGATAAAGCACGCGAGTTACGAGCAGGCTCACCACGTCCGAAGTTCACTGCAAGAGCGGCGTACAGCGTACGGTGCAAAGACTGAATTAGTTATACATGAGCGCGAATGGCATCCGCGCTGCACACACTACCTTCACCAGTCTCCGCCAGCGCCTGTGCACAACTCGGTACAGCCGTCGGCATCTAGATGCCATGTATTGTAGGGATTCGCCCACTCAAGATCCAAAACTGGAGTCGACCCCAGCTTCGCTGTTTCATCCACTCCGTGCTGCAATCAGCGTGCCGAGAAGCTCAAAGCGCACCGCCGAGACCAGCTGCGGACCCGGGTACTTACCGCTTGGGGGTCTCTCTGCTTTTTCTCGACGCGCGGGGTGATCAGCTGCTCTACATCCTCTGGGCCTTGGCATGATCCCGTAGTCTCAGACAGCTTGTCGGCCACCAGCCGATCCTTCAAGATCCCCTGGGGCCATCTCGGGCACGTCGGCGGCTGCTGCCGCTCACGCGCACTGCTCGGCGGGCCGGTCGCTCGAGCCCTTGCTGGGCAGCACCGCCCGCCTCTCCCCGCTCGCCGCCTCGGTGGCCTTCCGCTCTGCCGCGCGGCTGGCTCCCCTCCTCGCCCGACCGCTCGGGACGCCACGCGCGTGACGCCACGCGTCACGTGGGCTTGGCACCGCTCGGACGTGTGCATGTTTCTCTCGGCGAGGACCATCGAGGAGCATCCTTGATCATCGAGCCGGAGCAATTTTTGGTCTGCGGGTCGGGAGCGGGCCCCTTCCGGTCAAGGGCTAAACGGGGCGCGGGTAGCCCTAATTGGGGAGACAGGGCGCGGGCGGGCGGAGCCTCAGGCGGCCGGAGGGCTCAGAGTTGAGGCGGTGCCGAAGATCTTGCACAGGACAAGGTACGCAATGAAGCCGGAACAAGCACGCACGAAACCGACAAACGCACGGGGAATGGACGTCCGAGCGATGGCAAGTGGGAGGTTTGGGGCCGGCTGGGGGGGCCGGGGGATGGCCTGGCACCTGGCCCCGGCCAGCAGAACACGGGGGACCGCCCGCCTGTGACATGCCCCTGGCCCTGAGGTTCAATCGGGCGCGTCCCTCTACAGGGGGACTGTTCAAAATAGCAAAGAAATAGTCAGGGGACGATTTTTGGAATATTTTTGAATATGTTTTGAATATTTTTGGGGGTATGTATTATTTTTCGTCCGGACTCCCCCTGTAGGGGGACAGGCCCGACCTACCCCTAAGGTTGGCATCGCCGGATCTCGAGGCCGATCTCACGGGCTCCCTCGGTTTCTGAGGGCGCGTCCCCGAGATCGTCATTCTCATCGCTCTGGGGCCTGTCGACCTTAGGGGCAAGGAGGGGCTCGAGGCCGGTTGCGGGGAGAATGGGGCTTCCTCAGTTGCTGAGGGCGCGGTCCCGAGATTGTCGCTCTCATCGCTTTTGGGCCTGTCGACCTTCTGGGCAGGGATGGGCTCGAGGCTGGTCGAGGGGAGGGCGGGGCCCCCCCCTCGTCTCCACGGCTGGGGCGCGGCTCGAGCCAAAGCGGGTGTGTCTCGACCTTGGCGAGAGGCCCGAGGGGCCGACCTTGGAGCGGAGTTGTCTCCGCTGCCGCCTCTTTCGGGGAAGCGTGAAGCTCGAGCAGGCCGGAGCTCGGGTCTGCCGACACCTTTTGACGAGCGCGTCCAGGATGTCGACGGTCCGATGTTCGTGGGCTGTTTGCAGCGGGAGCTCGCGTCGACTTGCAGACTGGGCCTCGTCATTTTCATGGCAGCCCCGTCAGGCCAACCCGAGCCCCCCGTGCACGAGTCATGCGTCTCCCCGACTCTTGAGCGATGTTCCCTGGGCCGATCCCGCTCAGACCCCCCGGTGCCGCCTCCAGTATCTGAGATACGCTCTCTCGGATGCAACTCCCGGGGGGTCAAATTCTGATCTTGCCCTGGTCTGAATCCGGCTTAATCTGGCGCTCAGTCCGGCTTACTGTAATCCCGTTTCATCCCGGTCAATCCCGCTTCATCCGCGGCCTGATCCTGCGCACAAGCCCCTCAGTGGGGCTCCAATCTCCCTCAAATCCTTCCGACGAAGACCTCCCAGCAGTTGCCTCCTACAACGCTCTGGCCGGACGAGCGCCTCCGAGCAGGGCACACAGTGTTGCCCGGAGGCCGGGTATGATGGGCCTGTTTTCCACCACCACCACCACCATAAGTTGGAGGGAGGAAGGAGGTGGAGGACGACGAAGATAAGGAGGAGGAGGAGGAGGTGGAGGAGGAGGAGGAGGAGGAGGAGGAGGAGGGCGAGGAGGAGAAGGAGGAGGAGGAGGAGGAGGAGGAGGAGGGAGGAGGAGGAGAGGACGACGAATATAAGGACGAGGAGGAGGAGGAGGAGGAGGAGGAGGAGGAGGAGGAGGAGGAGGAGGAGGAGGAGGAGGAGGAGGAGGAGGAGGGGGAGGAGGAGGAGGAGGAGGAGGAGGAGGACGAAGATAAGGAGGAGGAGGAGGATGAGGACGAGGAGGAGGAGGAGGAGGGAGGAGGAGGAGGAGGACGAAGATAAGGACGAGGAGGAGGAGGTGGGAGGAGGAGGAGGAGGAGGAGGAGGAGGAGGTGGGAGGAGGAGGAGGAGGAGGAGGAGGAGGAGGAGGAGGAGGAGGAGGAGGAGGAGGAGGAGGACGAGGAGGAGGAGGAGGAGGAGGAGGACGAAGATAAGGACGAGGAGGAGGAGGAGGAGGACGAAGATAAGGACGAGGAGGAGGAGGAGGAGGAGGAGGAGGAGGAGGAGGAGGAGGAGGACCCCCTCCCCCTCCAGCTCATGGCGGTCGTGGTGGAAAACGGGCCCACCAGGGCCTGCGGCCTCGGCGCGGGACGGGCACGCGCGTGGCCCCGGCGCCCTCCCGGCGCTCGGCCCCTCCGTGCGGCGGGCGTGCCGCGTGCGTGCCCAGCGCGCGGCCTCGGGGCACTCCGCCGTGTGGATCCCGCCGTGTGCGCTTCCCGCTCCCCTTTGCAAGCACTTCGGCTTCGGCACCGCCTGTATCCGAGGCTATGCCTCCTCTCGGCCTCGCTCTGAGGCTCCGCCGCTTCCAGAGCCGTAGACGGCAGCACCAACCGCAGCATTTTGCTTCGACCGGTGCTTCGCCACTGGGTTCATGGGGAAGGCGCTCCTTTGCAAGTGCGCCGGCTTCGGCACCGCCTGTTCCCGAGGCTTTGCCTCCTCTTGGCCTCGTTCCGAGGCTGCGCCCCCCTTTCCCTCCCCCATCCCTGGTTAATTCAAGCTTCTCGCGGCCCGCTTAGCTTCGACCGGAAGAGGTGCGCTCTCGACCCGCGGATCAAAAGTGTGTGCTTCCAGCTCCCTGGCAGTGGTACGTCCGGCATGCCCCTCCACAGGATCGCCGAGCGCGGTCCACTGCTCGCAAAGTGCCTGCTCGCAAAGGTCCGAACAACGCATGCCCCTTTTCCGTGTAATATTTATTATTATTATTATTATTATTATTATTATTATTATTATTATTATTATTATTATTATTATTATTATTATTATTATTATTATTGTTATTGTTATTGTTATTATTATTATTCTTAATATTATTATTATTATTGTTATTATTAGTATTATTATTATTGTTATTATTATTAGTACTATTATTATTAATATTATTATATATATATATATATATCGTAGATCCCCCGCGGCGGATCCAGGCCATTTGCGAGTAGTTACTTCGCAAGGAGCAGTGGCACGCGCTCGTCTACAGGAGGAATTTTCCAGAATCGTCAAAAGCTGGTCGGTAGACGACGTTTCGACTATTCTGGACAGTGTCTGAGCACTTTTCGACTACATTTTCATTTGCCTTCCAGAACCCACCCGTAGGAGGACATGCCCGACCTGATGGTAGTATGCTCTTTGGCCGCCCCACGGAGCGGCCCTCCCTGGCGCGCGATCGGGACACCCGGGAGCACGCCGGCCCCAGCCTGAGCCATGCCTCTGCGGCCCGCTCCTACTCCTGCCGCCTCGGTGGCTGCCTCGCCGCACAGGCGGTGGCCGCGCCATACGGACCGCACGCGCCGGACACTGGGGCCGACCACGCGACAACGTGTGCGCGAGCGCGTGCCCGTGCGTGCGTCGGCCGCTCCATCGACACACATTCGATTACCTTGCGCCTTGGTGGGGCCCACCGTTGGGGAAGCGGAAGTGTTTCTGCGCGTCTCCTCCCACGCGGGGTGGGTGCTTTCACCTGCGCGCAGCCTCGGCGACGAGCCCACTGGGGAAGTCAGAGGGGCCCTTCTTAGAAGGCTCGGAAGGCCTCCAGCCTCCTGAGAAGATTTTCAAAGCCTCCTCCGAAGACAGAGGCGGCTTCTCAGAAGGCCAGCCTCCGAGAAGCCCCGCCGCCTTCCGACAAGGTGTGCCCCCTAGAGCTCTGACCTGCCCCCGGGCCCGCCGCCAACAGCCCGCCTTCGTGCCGCGACACCCGCCAGCCGCACCCCGCCGGCGCGGAGGAGGGCAGAGCGGAGCTCCTCGCGCAGAGCCTGCCCGTGTGCGCTCGCGCGCCCGCGTTGGCCGCCCCACGGGGGGGGGGAGCGTGACGGGGACAACGTCCAGAGGAGGAGGAGGAGGAGGAGGAGGAGGAGGAGGAGGAGGAGGAGGAGGAGGCCTGTGCTCCAGCACGCACGCACACAGTCCGAGGGCGCTCCGCCGCCCGCGTTTGTCGCTCCCCCCCTCCGCGCCCCGCCCGCTCCTGCTGTGACTACTTTGGCCCCGAGGCGTGCCTCGGCCGCCCCGACCGCCCTCTGGCTCCGATCAGCGAGAACAGACCCCAACCCCGATGGCGCGAGGAAGACGTGGCCTCGCTGAGGGCCCCGCCGTTGCCTTAGGGATAAGCCTTCTGGGCGGTTTGGTCCGATACACCTGCAGCCAAAAAACCATATCCCGGAGGTCTGGGCCCCCTCCCAAAGGGTCACGGCTCTCCGTTTTTGCTCACTCGTCCCCGTCGCCGCGACCGGAAGAAAGTGCGTGCGCGCCCCGCGGCCCGCGGCTGCCCCGCAGGAGCCCGACGGCTCCCAGCTGATCTTCACCACGGAGGCCTCCCCCCCCGCTCTGCGCACGGCTCCGGCGCCCGCGGCGGGCGCCCCGTACAGTCAACCCACATAGTGAGGATGGGCAACCTTCCCAAAGGTGCCCTTGCATCAACTTGCCCCTTCGGCCCATGCTTGGCCACTTTCGTTGGCCAACCTCGCTCGAAAGAAGCTCACGTGGCCCTCCAAGGCCCCTGCATCCTCACTGCGCATCCTTGTTGTGCGGGTTGACTGTCTGGGGCACCCCGTGGCGGCGCGGCCCAGTGTTCCCCTTCGCCCTCCTCGCCCTCTGCCTGCCTCCCGTCCTCCTCTGGTGCCCCATCGGGCTCCTCCTTCTTCGGCCTTCCGCCTCGTGTGTCCTCCCCTCCCGCTGCTCCTCCCTCCTCTTGCTTCCTCTTCCCCACCTCTCTCTCTCCTCACCCATCCCGCTCCTCCCTTCTCCCCTGTTTTCCCGCTCCCTCTGCTCGTCCTCGCCTCTTCTTGTTGTTGTTGTTGAACATTATTTATTCTAAAGAATAATTATTGTTGGGCCCCCTGGTGCGCGCCCCCCCTGCGCCGCCTAGGCCGCAGCTACATTTTCATTATTTTCGTGAGGAAGCCTCAGAAAAGAGGGTGTGTACAGGATCCGGTTGTTTTGTTGTAATCCGCTTTCCCTTGCAAAAAACAATAGAAAATGACATTTCTTGTTCTAATATAATCAAATTTCAAGAATCCCTTGCAAAAAATAAGGTAAAGTGGACATTCGCGCGCGCAAGACGAAATCCTTCCAAAACCTTAGTGTTCGCAGCGATTTTAACATAAAAACATCAAAAAACCAATGGTTTTTCAACAAAAAATTGTCAAAATCTCATCCCGCGCGCTCTTGCGGATTCGTAGGAAACCCAACACTTTTTAAACATTTCTGTCAAACGGGCTTTTGCGAGCAACTTTTTCGAACTTCTGCGACAACGGTTGCGCACCTGCCAGGGCCATCATCCCTGTCAAATAATACCATGCGGGACACATTCGTTTTTTCTTCGCGCGCGCACGCCGAAATCTCCAAAAACCATTGGGCTTCTTAAGAATTTTAGCACCGCGCATCATAAAATCACACGAATCGCACCGTAGGTCCTCGAAAAACACCTGCACGACTTTTCAAAATTTCTACCCGCGCGCGCTGTCCGAATCCTAAAAAAAACCAATGGTTTTCCAACATTTATGTTACATGAGCTCGCGCGAGCTACTTTCGCACGCTCTTGCAACGGGGTTCGCGCGCCTGCCAGGGGCCACAATCCCTTGCGGTTGCGCCATAGGTTGCGCCCTCGGCCGCCGAGAATAAAACGTCCCCCTATTGGTTGCGCCATAGGTTGCGCCCTCGGCCGCCGAGAATAAAACGTCCCCCTACTGGTTGCGCCATAGGTTGCCCCAGGAGGCCTTCAAGAGGCCCCAAGAGCAAGGCTTAGTGGGTGGCTTAACAACTTCTGTGGGTGTACGAACGTAGGCTTAACAACTTCTGTGGGTGTGTACTCCACGCCAGTGTAGTAGCCACGGTCGTCCGCAGGCCACGAAGTGAAGTGTCCGAACGTCATAGGGCGGGAAGCTGGGTGTGGGTGGTGGCGAAGAGTCGTGTGGATATTTGGTAGAGCTTGCACTGCCCCCCCACAAAGTGGGGGTATTGGCTGGCGTCGCATGAAAACCCTGGCACTGGTGAGAACACTGAGCGTTCGGGTAAAGTGATTGTTGTTGTTGTTGTTGTTGTTGTTGTTGTTGTTGTTGTTGTTGTTGTTGTTGTTGTTGAATTCTCATTTCTGAAGAATAATTATTGTTGATCCCCCCCCACCGGTGCATACGGTTTTTTCTCAATCAAAGTGTGCCCCTCGACGCTCGCACCCTGTTTTTTGACAGGGAAAGTCTTCCTGCTCAAACTGGCCCCCTGGCCCCCGGGTTACAACAACAACGGCTCCCGCCTGACACTTCCTTACAATTTAGCCAGGACCCCCGCTCCCGCCCGAGACTTTTTCGTATTTTATTCAGGAATCGCGCTCTCGCTTGGGACTTCCTAACAACTTATTCAAGAATCGCTTTCCCGGCGCTCTGAAGTCGCGCTCTCGCTGGAGACTTGCTTGCAACTTACTGAAGAATAGCCTTGCGTTGGAATTTCCTGCAATTTGCCCAAGCGCCGCGCTCCCGACACCCAGGCACCCAGGAGTCGCGCCCGTTGTGGCCCCATGTGCATGCCCTTCGTGGCCCCGCTGTCGCCATTTGTGTCCCCCTCACTGTCCTACGTGGCCCAGTTGCTACCCTCAGTGGCCCCATAGTTGCCTTCTGTGGCCCCGCATTATCTGCACTTCGTGGCCCCCGCTCGTTCGCGCTCTTCGTGGCCCCATACGCATTCCCTTCGTGTCCCCGCTGTCGCCCTTCGTGGCCTACCTCGTGCCCTTCGTGGCCCTGCTGTCGTTCTCTCTCGCTCTCGCTTTCGCTCGTGGTCGCCGTCGTCGTCGTCGCCGTCGTCTTCGACCTTGTCGTCGTCGTCGTCGTCGTCGTCGTCGTCGTCGTCGTGGTCGGTCCTCTGTCCGTCGCTCTTGGGGTCGGGTCGACGGTCCGCGGCCGCCCCGCCGATCAGCGCTGCCGCTGGCCAGGCCGACGGTCCGCGGCCGCCCCGCCGCTTGCCAGGGCCCGGCCTTCAGGGAAGAAAGGTATACCCCCCAGAGGGGTTCGATCGAAGACGAAGAGGGCGGGTATCGAGGGTTTGGGAAATACGCGTTATTGGACACTCGAGCATATATGGGCGAACAGTCTTAACATTCTTGTTGTTCTTCTTGTTGTTGTTGTTGTTGTTGTTATTATTGTTTGTTGTTTGTTGTTTGTTGTTTGTTGTTTGTTGTTTGTTGTTTGTTGTTTGGTGTTTGGTGTTTGGTGTTTGTTGCTTGTTGTTTGTTGTTTGTTGTTTGTTGTTTGTTGTTTGTTGTTTGTTGTTTGTTGTTTGTTGTTTGTTGTTTGTTGTTTGTTGTTTGTTGTTTGTTGTTTGTTGTCGTTGTCGTTGTCGTTGTTGTTGTTGTTGTTGTTGTTGTTGTTGTTGTTGCGTTCTTACTGTTCCGTCTCCCGCTATGTCTCTCTCTCACTCTCTTTCTCTTTCTCTCCTTATCGTTCTCCTGCGGCGGCACATACTCCGGCTATTTCTCATCCTCGTTCTCTTTCTCCTCCTCTTGCCCCTCCTCGTTCGTTTCGCCATCCGTCCTCCTCGTTCTCCTCTTCCGCTGGTGTTGTTATCTGTCGCGTCCTCGCCCATCCCTCTTCCCTCATGCACGTTCTTAGTTCGTCCCTCACCTCATCACCGGAAGTGTCGGTTGCGCAGGCTGGACATGCAGCCAGAGACCTCATCACATGCTCTGATGTTGAAACTTGCGTTGTCCAGTAGCTACACGGATGGACGGGCCCAGGCGGTTGGTTTTCAAAGCGTGGTTGTCGCTATGGCTCTGCAGCTGCATGGTTGGAGGTTGGTTCCTCTGTCTTCTGCAGAATAGGGTGTTTGTTTGAGACTCCTGATTGGCTGCGCGAAACGTAGCATTTGCAACAGTCGCGTAGCATGGGGGGCGCTTCCATTTCAACCTGGGGCGCTAGGCTCGCCAGTGCTCCGACGCCCCTGAGGGCCCATTCCGATCCGATCGATCTTGCTCGGCATCGACCTCGGCGGGCCCGATCAGCTCCGATTCCGGTCATCCGACGATCCGGTGCGTCCCCGTGCCTGCACGGACGCTAGGTTCGCCAGTGCTCTGACGCCTCTGAGGGCCCATTCCGATCCTATCGATCTTGTTCGGCATCGACCTCGGCTGGCCAGATCAGATCTGATTCCGGTCATCCGACGATCCGATGCATCCCTGCGCCTGCATGGCGCCGTTGTGTATCCTGGCGCGGCCGACTCCGTGCCGATGCGGCCCGACCCGATGCCTGTGCAGACCCGGTGTGATTCGTCGATTCGATGCTAGCCGCTCCTGCCCTTCTTCCCCGGCTTGCTGCCGCCCCAGCTATCATCCTTTTCGGATGCAACTCCTGGGAGATCCAATTCTGATTGTGTCCTGGTCCGAAGTCCGGCTTAATCTGGTTTAATCCCGCTCAATCCGGCGTAATCCGGCTTGATCCTGTTTAATCCGGCCTAATCCCGCTCAATCCGAGGCCCTCCTGCGTAACAGCCCCCCGATGGGGCTTAATCTTCCTTAATCCTTCCGACGAAGACCTCTCAGTAATTGCCTCCTAAATCATTGGCTCCAGCTTCAGTTCTTCCAATGCCGCTACAGTCGGACGTGGCCAGGACGAGGATGGTCCGCTCCTCCAGAGCGTTCCGGACCGCTCTCCGAGCGTTCCAGAACGCTCTGAGCAGGCCGCGGCGCCCGACACATTCTCCAGAGCCGCCAGATCTCAGAGGTTCTCGATTCATCCTCACCTGATTTTACCCTCGTCCTGGTTTCGTCTTCCACAGCTTGCCGGAGTGGCCCCCGCCTCCCACGGGCTGGGCAGTGAGCCCACCCCGGCCCCCCTGGCAACGCTGCGCCCGCCAGTGTTGCTCCTGCCTTGCCTCCCGCGTCTACCGTCGGCACGTCACAGGAGAAATCGGCCTGCCAGCAGTTGCCCCGCGGATGCTTCTCATCCCCCAATGGCCCTGGGGGCTCAGAGGAGCCCTGGGGCACCTCAGGAAGCTCGGATCTTGACGAAGAGCGTGCCCCAATGCCCAGCTGCCTTCGGCAAACAAACCCCGCAACCGTGCCTGTGCAACAGCGCAGCAGGAAGGAGGCTGAGTGTGGGAACAGCGCAATTCCGATGAGTAGTCCGCATTGGGGAGATCCAGGCCTCGTCTTCGTCCGCGCGGTACGGAGGAGGAGGAGGAGGCGGAGGAGGAGGAGGAGGAGGAGGAGGAGGAGGAGGAGGAGGAGGAGGAGGAGGAGGAGGAGGAGGAGAAGAAGGCTTCCTCGGGCCTTCGAGGGCCTTCCTTGTGGCCTCGTTGGAGCTTCTTAGAGCTTCTTGGGAGCGTCT